CCGGTGGTAATCAAGGAACAGCCTCTAGGGAAGGTGGTTGCATTTTTCTTACTGTGGCATTTCAGGAACCTAGTTTTACCAGTGGATTGGTAAGAATTTCTCTTCATCATGGGTTCCAAATAGCCTTGGAATTGCTGAACTTGCAAGTCCAAATCAGCGGGGTTGGGAATGTGGTTGGTAGGCCCATGGAGCCCAAGGTCAAGGGAGAAATTCCTTTTATCCTCAACCTGGTTAGTCAGTTAAATTACCATAAAGAACAATAAGTAAGGGCCTCCCCGGTGGCTCAGCGGTTGAGCGCGCTGGGTTGCGAGGCCGCCCCGCGGCCTCTGTGGCACCGGTTCGATCCCCTGCTGCTCCCTGGCCACCGGAGGAGGATCCCGCATGGCGCGCAGACCTCTCCTGCCGCCCGCTGCTCCCCTCAGCAGTGTACTTCGGTCGTTCTGCCTGCTCTGCTCCCCGCTCTGGCTCTGGTGGATTCTCTCACCCTCCCGCGCTTCTGACTGTACCCAGTGCATGTATAAACAAAACAAACAAATAAATAAATAAATAAAACATGCCTCTATTTAAAAAAAAAAAAATGCACTGATCTTTAAAAAAAAAAAAAAAGAACAATAAGTAACCAGTGCCTTAATATTAGTTCAACATGGGACCTCCCTAGTGGCCTAGGGGTTAAGTCTCAGCGTTATCACCACTATTGCCTGAGTTGGATCACCAGCCAGGCAGCTGACCCACATGGCAGAGCAGACCTCTGGGGTCTCGCCTGCTGCTCCTTTCAGCAGTGTAGTTCAGTAGATCCACTTGTTCTGCTCCTCAATCTGTCTCTGGTGAATCCTCTCACCCCCTGTACCTCTGACCTATAGCCCAGTTCTTAAAAAAAAAAAAAAAAAGTTCAATATGGTGGCACAGGAAAGGACTTGGGAGTCAGACAGGACAGTAAATCCCAGCCCTGCCTCTTCCTGTCTGGGAAGCTAATTATCTTCTCTGTGCCTTGATTTCCTCATCTCTTCTGTGGGGATGAGAACAATTCATGGTGGTTGTAACAACAAAATGAGATGATACAGATAGATAAATGCAAATAAATGGTAATACTGTGATATATACATATATAGTATTCAAGAAACATATGCAGTGCCTATGAAAGGGAGAGCTGTAGTGATGAGCTAACACACGTGGATTTTAAATATAACTATGAGTACTTATAATCAGAAGCTTCAAACACCCAGTCCAAGTTAAGATTTTTCCTTGTAATTCAGGAACTCAATTTTCATCTATCCCTGGCATTGAGCCCAGAAAAGGCTGGGCCCTGGAGGGAAAGGGCTGCTCCACAGGGTGGTGGGACAAGGGCCTTTGGGGAAGGGGAGAAGGATCTTCAAGCTTTATCTACTTAGAGAGGGTTGAGGCCCAGCAATGACCTGAACACCAGGACACTTGGCCTCTGTCCTTGGGTGAGGGCACTTGCCTAGTTGCCATGAGCATGTGCTACCAAATTTTGTTGCACAAAGAGAAGTTTCAGTGAAGGACAGTGCAGTGCTGGGGAGGAGAGGTTTGGATACCAGTTCCAGGGAGAAGACCTCTCAGTTGTGTCAGCCATCCCCAGAGGGTATGGGAGCAGCTCCAGAAAATATGCTTGCGCTCTGGCCACAAAGCCAGGTGTTGCCTTGAAAAAGTCAGGGAGCAGCAGGCTAAGCCATGCCCACTTATGAGGCCCCGCCCACTAGCCTCTTCGAGCTCCTTCCTCCTCCCCAGTTTAGAGGCCTCCTGGAGTTCCATTGGAGGCAATGAGCTGGTATTTAAGCAGTTGCTATCCCCTGCAGCCCTTCTGGCCTTGACTTGTACTTCTCTTTGCAAACTTGGCTCAGTCTTTTTGGAAAAAACAGGCATATCAGAGGAGGAGGAGGGGGAAGAGTCCTAAAGATCCGTGGCCAGGGGCAGCTGGCTACCGTGGCCTCACTTTGTTAACTGTTTCTTCAGTAACTACTGAATGTCAGGTCCTAGAGGCACAGAATAGTTGCCTCATGCTCCCTGCCCTCTGGTAGTAACCAGACAGGTGAGTAACCAAACCACTAACATAAATGGTGTGGCTAGGTAATAAAGGCATGAGTAGTCAGCCATGAGGACCAGAGAATGGTGTCATTAGGAATGACTAATTAATAATACTATGTCTGGAGGTATTAAATCTTGGCAGAGAAAGTAATATTCCAGATGAGTAAAAATAATGAGTTAATAAATTGAAACATATGCCCTGGCCAAGCGTTGTACACATTCATTATCACATCTCTTCTTAGCAACTACTATTATTTTACCAATGTCACTGATGAAATGAGTCAACTAGGATTTCTCCTGACAGAGAGAAAGGGTATTCCATGTAGAGAAACTACGTGATGAGCAATGGCCTGGAGGAGAGAAAGTACCTGGGAAAGCAAGGTGTCAAGTATTAAGACTGTGCCTATCACCTTAAAAACACTTCTGGAAATGTCACACTTTATCCTCAGAAAAATCCCTGAGTTAGGATGATCACCAGTCTGTGGGTGTAAAATAGATATTTGCAAAGTGGTACAAATGAAAAGCTTGAAACTCCTTCAGGATCTAAAGTGTTTTCTGTTCATTGCTACATCACTAACAGACCCTGCACTTGAAAACGGTTCGGTAGTAACAAAGGGACCCACTGAGGAATCCTCCCACCAGTGGCCATCACTGGGCCTCTTTAGTCTAGCCAAGGGGGGAGTATGGAATAGGTTTATTTCTTTGTGTGAGGTTACCTAGAGCATTGACTTGGACCATCTTACTAAATAAGACCCAAGCAAAATTCTGTAATCTTTTAAAAATGAATAAAACATACACAACATCTAACAGGTACAAAAAGACTGTTAGCAACCAAACCATTCAGAGGCAACCACTGTTCACATTTTCTTGAAATTCTTTACAAGGTATTCAGGCATCTTTATTATAAAGTGGTAAAACATGCCAACAAAACATGAACTCTGTGTGAAATAATTATACTGATTCATTTTCTTAAAGTTAAGAAGCTAAGCTGTGCCTGGCGCTGTGCTGGATTCATAGATGAAAGAGACGTAACAGAGTTAGATAATACATGGACTGACTAGAGCCCCAAGTGTGTTGGGGGGGGAGGGAGATGGGAACAGCAGATAACAAAGGACCATAGTTAGTACAAAGCAAAATTCAGTTAAGTGTGGGAGAGTTTCACGCTCTAACAGTATCTCATAGTGGCTAGACCCTGTTCTCTGGAGTCACATCTGGCTTAGAGTCTCAATTCTTCTCTTGCTTTCAGTATGACCCAAGGAAGGTAAGTGAAACTGTCAGCCTATTTTTCCATCCGTCAAAATGGACTAATAATAGTAGTTACTTCATAGGGTTGTTGAAAGGGATATATAAGATAAAGTATAAAAAGCACTTGGCACATAGTAAGCGCTCAATAAATATGAGCTAAAGCCAAAAGCTTAGCTCTCAATAAATGCTGGCCATTATCATTCAAGTCAACGGTCTCTTATTGGAAAAATCACAAAGCTCTGAAAATTCGCTTTAAAAAAAAAGTGGGCATCAAAATATAACCCAAAGTGAGACTATTTCTCTGATTAACTATGAATATTCATAAATGTACCAAACTAGTATGAATTTTCATACTTTGCTGCAGAAATATCACTATATTTGGTTACAGGGAATGACCCAGCCCTACTGGTAGTGTTACTCTAAACTCTGAAACACTGCTGGCCCCAAGGGTTTCGGGATAAGCTTAGACTAACCCTTTATCCTTGCTAGAGAGAAATGGGAGCTTTTTTTTAAGATTTATTTTTATTTATGCATATAAGACCTAGGTGTAGGCTACAAAGGTTGGGGGCAGATGAAAGGTGGAGGGGGCAGGGGTGAAAGGATTCACCAGAGATTCACCAGGATTCGAACTTCCCCGCAGGACAAAGGCAGGCCCATAACCTAGAGCCTCCGGCTAGCTCTTGGCTAGCTCTGGCGGGCTGCTAGCTCATAGTTCCTCCCGCCCTAGGGAGCCCTAGGGAGTAGAACAGGCATATCTACTTAAATACATTGCTGAGGGGGGAGCAGTGTGCAAGACAGGAGAAGTCTGCTGCGCCATGTGGGTTAGCGCCCTGGCCTGGGATCGAACTCAAGCCTCAGTGGCTACCGATAGCGCTGACTTTAACCCCTGCGCCACCAGGGAGACCGTGGGAGCTCTTTTTAAGAACAATTGTTTTCTTAGCCCATAGTATTATTTTTCACCTTACATAGTTCAGAAAAGTCCTTCGGAATCCTCCCAGGATTTAAGCTCACAGCTCCCTGATTCCTGTATATTCAAAGACTTGTGGGAGGAAAAAAATACCTGGCTTGGTGTCAGCACTGATTTTCCTCCTTTTACCAAGCCTCTCCAGGGCTGTTTCATTATCCCTATGGCAACGCCTAGCAACAGTGCTTGGCATTTAGTAGGCCCTTTTCAAGTACACTGAATAAACTCTAAAACGGGGTAGTTTATCATTCGCAAGTTCTGATTCCTTCCTTCCTCCTGGTCCCGCCGCAGGCACGGGGCACTCACTGGCGGACTGCCCTGGGCGGCTGAGGGTGCGCGAGGAAGGATGAGCTAAGCCTCTCGGGCAGGAGGGGCTGCCCCAGCCAACGCACACCCGACCCGGAGACTCTCCTCAAGCCGGATCCCCATCCTACCCCACGTGCACGACTGAGAGTCGCTCTCTTTAAGGATGGGTATGGTCCTCCCTTTCAGTACTTAAAAATACTCCGCGGACTCGGGCTCTCAACCGCACCTCGGCGCCCCAGGACGCCCGCGCACTTCCCGCGGGACAAACACAGGCCCAGAACCCAGCGCCGCCGGCTAGCGCCGGGCCCCGCCCGCCCTGGAGGACCGTGGGTGGACGCTCTTGCAGCGCGCCTCTCGCTGGTCGGGGCGGGGGAGGGCGGAGCCAGCGCCGCCCGTGCTGGGGAAGCGGAGGGTGGGGACACTCTGGCCCGGCTCTCGGTGGTGCGGGAGCGGGAGCGCGCAGCGGCCGCTCTGGTCGGCGGACGTGCTGCCGAGCAGTCCCGGAAGCGAAGCAGCGATGGCGGAGAGTCCGACTGAGGAGGCGGCCACGGCGACGGCGGGCGCCGGGGCGGCGGGCCCGGGGCAAGCGGCGTCGCCGGCGTTGTGGGCGTCAGCGGCAGCGGCGGCGGGTTCGGGCCGCCTTTCCTGCCGGATGTGTGGGCGGCGGCGGCAGCGGCGGGCGGGGCCGGGGGACCGGGCAGCGGCCTGGCCCCGCTGCCGGGACTCCCGCCCTCGGCCGCTGCCCACGGGGCCGCGCTGCTCAGCCACTGGGACCCCACGCTCAGCTCGGACTGGGACGGCGAGCGGACCGCGCCGCAGTGCCTCCTCCGGATCAAGCGGTGAGCCGGGGTTTTTCCTCCCCTAGCCCCACGCTCCGCGCCGGGGCTCGGCCTTCCCCGCCCCCGCCCCCCTCCACCACCCTTCCGCGGCCTCAGCGCCTCCCTCGCGGCGGCCCGGCTCGGAGGCCCGCGTCCTGCCTGCCCGGAGCGTCGAGCCCCGAGTCCCCGCTCCACCCCCACTGCCGGCAGCTCACGCAGCAAACCCCACCTCGCGCGCCCAGGTCCGACCCCGCCCCTCGCAGCCTCCCGCGAGCCCCGGTCCTCGCCCGGACGCCCTCCCCCCACCTCCCGCCCGAAACCCGACCCTGGCGCGCTCCAGTAACACCCCCTCCCGCCCTCCGCGCCGCCCTCTCCCCCCCCTTCCCCACCCCAGTCTTGTTAGATGCTGCCCAGAGGCCCCACCCATTGCTCGTCCCTCTCTCCCCTACCTCCGTCTCCTCCCGAGCCCCGTTTGTAACACACACCCACACACACAGCCACAGCCACACAGCTTCTTCGCGCGGCCTCTCACTCGAGGCCAGTCTTTCCTTTCATTACCGGTTTCTCGAATCCCCTCCGCAAGCCTATATTGCTTCCCTCACATACCCGCAATCTTCTCTTGAGCCACTTTTCCAGAACCCCAAAACTGTCCTTAGACCTATCCACTCTCACACCTGTTCCAGAAACTCAGATTTCCTCTCCCCAGTGTCACTCTGGTTTGCAATATGCCACTCAAGCCTTTCTTCCCTGGATTTTTTGCTCTGGATCATACAGTTTACTTTTCTGAAGCAAATATAACAGTTCCAATATGAGAACAAAGGCCTGAAGTCCTTTCTGTGCTTATTTCTTGGGTGACTGATCTTAGATCATATCTTTTAGTAAATAATATTTTTGCAAAAATGCTTTGCATAGTAATGATTGCACTGGAAAGGGTAATACTTTTTAGCTGCTGTTAATCCTGAAACCTGTTTCCTGAAGACCAGACTCTTCCTCCCCCATGCTCCCATCACAATCATCCTCATCTAGGTATTCTCAACCTTTCACATTCCAAATCCCTACAAATAACTCTCTACCTGCTTTTCAAGGTTTTGATAAAAATGTTAAATGGCACATTGTATTTAAAGTACCTGGCCCAGAGCCTGAACCAGGATGCCAACTCTATCAGCTTTGCCACCTCTAACTTAAGAAATCCAACCCTCCCCCTCTCTCTTACTTCTTCAGCCATTTCAGTCTTCCAGTCCTGATACATCTTGAGTTCCACTAGTGCTACTTTGCTCTGCCATTTACACATGCTCTTTGTATCCTTACATACCCTAGCAATTCCTAGACTTTTTACTAACCAGAATGCCCTTCCTTAGACCCATATTTCCAATGGGACCATTGTAGTTTGTGACATCCAACCTAGAAATCTTCCAAAGTAGTCACTGCATGTCATTTTTCAGATAGGATGTTTTCAGCAACTTCAGAGGGTCCCCTCCCCAACCTGAAGCCAACTCTACCTTGCTAGCCCCCTTGGCAAGACTACTGTTCTTGCTCCCTTCTAGCTTTCTTACTTCATATAACCCTATTGCCAACATAGTCCACTGTGTGGCTTACACAATTAGTTTTTAGTGGAGTTGATTATGCCCCCCAGTTACTAAAAATATCTTTTAGCATGCAGTTGTACCTGGTACTCTTGGAGGTAGGGAGTGACTGTATTGTCACGTGGGAGGAAGTGAGAGTAAATGGGATGTGACTTTTCCAGGGTGACATCTGATGCCATTGGGATCTCTGATTTTTTTTCCCCCCTCTTCTTGCCCTCCCCCTAAGGAAACAATACCCCTTTGATAATTTGCTCTCTGCCTGCCTGACAAGTACTCAGCTGAGCTTTCTCAGCCAACAAGACAGTGCAAACATTTGTGGTACCAAGCACCACTTTCTCAGCCCTGGTCTCATTGAGGTGATAACAGCTGTCCTGCTTAAGGGATTCCCCTTTTTTCTCTCCCTCACTCCCTCCCCCCACCTCCTCTTGGTGTTATACAGGGATATCATGTCCATTTATAAGGAGCCTCCTCCAGGAATGTTCGTTGTACCTGATACTGTTGACATGACTAAGGTATGTAACTGTGGGGGCTGGGTTATTGGGAAATTGGGCCCATAATGTTGGAAGAATCTAAAAGTATTTGATTTACATCTCTGATTATAAAAGTGAGAAACCAGACCCCAAAAGAGTAGCGGCTTGCACAGTGAGGTGGAGCAGAACCTTGAGTAGCTGTCTGTTTATTAGGGTCCCAGTGGTCTTGGTTGGCTTGGGAAATACCAGTTTACACCTATTGTCCCAGCTTCACTATTAGTAGGGCACTCACTCACTCTCAGAAGCGCTCCAGTTTGGATGATAAATTACATGGTCACCCTATCCATTGTGCCCCTAGCCCTTCCCCCTTTCCTCTGCTGTTGAACTAAGTGTGCTGCTATTAAAGTAGATGCAGAGAAAGTTGAGGATGGGGCAAGCTTGGGTGAACCGTGTTTATAAAGGACCTTGTTTAGGCTCCTATACGTGTTGCTTTTGAATATCCCTTCTACCCCAAAGACCATTTCTCTATCTTCCACATACAGGCACAGAGAACATTTAGTATGTAATGTCACATTCCTCGCTTCTCTGTCATTGAATTCTCTGCCCCCAGAAGTCAGTTTATGCTTGCAGTGATATTGGGAAGAAATCAGACTTGTAATCTCGTGTTGTTTAAATGAAAAGTTCTAGTTTCACATTTCTTACAATAAATACTCAGGTTTTATATTGTTGGTATCTGTTTTGTTTTTAATAATTTTCCCTTTTCATTGATTTTTTTTTTTCCTTTTTATGTGGTTGGAAATGTTTTTCCTGGGATATTTTGCCCTTAGTCAAGTATCAGTGTTAATATGCTAGTCCCCGGGGTCCCAGAATTGGTGCCATAATTGTACCAGTTGCGCTTTCTCTTCCAAATAACTGAAGGCTAAAAGGTAAACCTGGGTGTCACCAGGGCAAGGTAGGGACTGTAGAGGCATTGTGTTGCAGGTCCTTTTACTTCTTTCTGTTCAAATTCTGAGCAGACTTAACTGCCTGGGTACTTTTCTAGAAGAAGAAATCTAACTGAATTAGTTCAGGTTGCCCTCCCCCCACCTTTGGGGAGGGAAATCTTGCGCAATAATCATGGCTGGAGAAGATAATTTAGCGTTCTAAGTGCTACCGCTGATTTTATCATTTAGTTATTAACCTTCAGTGTTGGAAAGTTCTGGGGATGGTCTTATGGCTCTAAGTGGCCCCTGAGTTTTCCCCATTTTTCTTTGTATCTTTGACACACCTGGTTGCTGACTGCTCCATACCTTCCACAATGGGTTTTATCCTCTGTGGAGGAAGCAGACACCTTAGGCCTCCATCACGACCCTTGGCTCTGCACTGTGACTGGCACAGGTGCTGTGACCGCCCCCACCCCAGACCCTTTCCTCTTTTCCATCCATCTTATCTCCCCTTTGTGCCATGTACATGGAGGGTGGAATTGCATCATTAGCTGTTTATTTAACCTAGGCAAATTCAAACATGCATACTGTGTAAAAATACATTGATCTCTTAAAATTAAACATGCAAGGGTAATATTTTACAGCTGTATATTATATTTTGCACATCGGTACTCTGTCCATTTGTTACACATAGCACTGTTCAGGGAAGTCCAAATGAAAACATTCTTTGGGGGAGTTTTAAGGGTGATCTTGACTAGATTCACTTTTCACCTTGGACTCTAGAGTGTAATCCCATTGTAATGGGATTTCTTAAAATTTCAGTTATTAGTATGAGAGAGAGTAGGCTGTTCATTCTGTATGATACGGAACATGGATGCCAAGTGAAGGTCCTGCTTTTGGCGTGGGCAGCGAGTGGAAGCCAGGAGGGGTTGGGATGGGACATCACCTCACAATTTTGAGATGGGGTTTTATTTTGCAGATTCATGCATTGATCACAGGCCCATTTGACACTCCTTATGAAGGGGGTTTCTTCCTGTTCGTGTTTCGGTGTCCGCCCGACTATCCCATCCACCCACCTCGGGTCAAACTGATGACAACGGGCAATAACACAGTGAGGTTTAACCCCAACTTCTACCGCAATGGGAAAGTCTGCTTGAGTATTCTAGGGTAAGAGGAGACTTCTAAGTGGCCAAGTTGGTTGTTAGCAAATTATTGCTCTAGGCCAGCCTTTATCAACCAGGGTTCCTCATCTGACCCACAGAACTCAGAAACTAATTGGTATGACTATTTCCTCAGTTCTCCCCAGGATGGTACAAGACTAGCATCATTCTAGATGCAAAGGAGGTTAATTCATTACATAAAACGATTACCTTAGTGAAGTGGTTCTCGCTGAGCAGTGGTAGCACCTGGGAACTTGAAGCTGTGCAGATTCTGGGCCCCACTCTAGATTTACTGTATCAGAAACTCTGGGGTTTGGACCCAATAGTCTGTCTCTTAAAAACCTTCCAGGAGGTTCTGGTGTACACTCCAGCTTGAGAACCATTTCATTAGGGCATCAAGACTTAATTCTCTCCCAAACAGGTTGAGAAAGGCTGCAGATCTGTGCCATTCAGGATTGTGGGTGTCTTATTTCTGAGTCTCAATGAGTGCTTTGGAGGCGGTGGTGGTGGTGATGATGATTGTGATATTTTAACAAGTGAATGAAAAATGTTTGAGGTTGGAAATCACATAAGATACAAAACGCAGAAGTATCAAGTACATCTGTTTCTGAGTGCTACTGAGATTTTGGTTCATGTCGTTCTCTTCTATTCCCTTTTAATTGTATTTGGGGGTTAAAAATTCAGAATGGAAATGTCTTCTAGCGTATTCTGGATTGATCATATTAGTGTGGTCTGAATTTCCCTGGGGTGGAGAAAAAAATGCAGGTTGAAGTTGAGAAGGTTGGCCAAACTGGTGGTACTGTTTTCTTTCTTCCCGTCCAACGTTTCCAGGTTTGTGTGAGGGGAAGGGCAGCTGAAACGAAGTGGAGACAAGACTTCTCTTTTTTTTAATCCCTTAAATCCAGATATAAGTTCTGTGATTGTGGCAGTAAGGAAGTCCTTTAAAGATTGTATTTCAAGAAATCTGTCATCTCATGAGGGTACATAATGGTCTGCACGGTGGGGTAGTATATATATAACCCATAGTGGTAAAGAAATTAGTTGTTTCCTTACGAAATTTGTTCCTGAAAGTTTTTTGTCATAGGCTCTCATTCATTAGGCCAATATAAAATTATTTCCAGCAAACAGTAGCTCATAGTAGAAATAGGGGAGAGAGATGGTGGGGGTAAAAGTGGTAGAAGTGTGTTGGGTGGAAAGAAGCTCCCCTGACATGAAAGTGTGCTATGAATCAGAGAAACTTCCCCTGTATTTGTAGTTGACTGTGTTAACTTCATCAGCCTCATTCCTTCCCTCCCTATCTAGAAAAAAATTGGGCTGGCTTACTGTCAAAAGAAATTTAATGAACAATTACCAATTGACTTGAGTCCCTGAGTTTATAAAGCCTTATGAGTGCAAGGTCTAGAGTTCTTGGCAGCAAAGCAGAGAAGAGAGGTTGAGAGGCACTGCGGAGCAAGCTCTGGTGAAGTTACTGTTACACTTACTTGGGCTTCCTGGAGTCTGGCAGGGCGAGGGAAATGGCCTGTGTACTTGAACAAACCAGGTGTGGCTCAGATTGTGTTCAGCTTCCAGCATAGGTGCCCCCTCTTCAAAAAGTTGAACTAAAAACAAATGTCAAGGGCCACGTGGCCTGCTCCTCCCCCTCCACCTCCCCATACTTAACTAGATATAAAAATGAGGAGCAATTTTGATGTCTCTTGCTCAAGATGTTTCCTATATATTATATTCAGACATTCCACAGTCTGGAAGTACCCCTTATTCTCTTCCTGTCTTTTGGCAGAGTTCTGTAGTCTCTGGAGAATTTGTCACTCCTGGGGGCTTGATACAGAAATGAATCCCTAATTGTCACCAAATGGCCTCAGTCCCCTCTGCCTCTGTGTTCAGTGTCTCTCTCCTCACTAACTCCATCACTACCCAGACATAACAAAAAAATAAGCAAGCTCTTTGAGGTCCACTAGGTTAACATTTAGTCTGCCTTGGGAGCCGCTTCTTACTTTAGTTCTTTCATGGTGATGCTCAGTACCTGCCCTGGCTAATCTTTCTTTCATAGCCTAAAGAAAATCCCCTCAAAGTTATCTTGCTCGCTTTTGCCTCTCTTCTTTTGTCCTACTTGATAAGAGGATTAGGCAGTTGGCTGATTTCTGGTGAATGAGGGTTAGAGGGAAGCTGGGGAATTCCGAATATTGATAGTGAAAGAGTTACTTCTGATGGGAGGCCAGGCCCCAGTGTTGTGCACTGGTCTTTCTGTGGCTGCCTTTCCCATCACTCTGCCTCACCCCATTCTCCCCTCTGATGTGTTTTGCAGTACGTGGACTGGCCCTGCCTGGAGCCCAGCCCAGAGCATCTCTTCAGTGCTCATCTCCATCCAGTCCCTGATGACTGAGAACCCCTATCACAATGAACCTGGCTTTGAGCAGGTAAGGCCAGCTGGGCCCAGCTCTGGGGTATGAATTATTGGGTTTTGAGAGATCTGCTTGAGTCTTTTTTTTTTTTTTTAAACCTGACTCAGCCTTTTGTGTTACAATCATTGCTATAGAGAAAAAGGAGAGCAGCATTTGTGCTTCTTAATAATGAATTTTTTACTTATGAATTACAATAACTCTTAGGTTCTTTCCATTTGATTTATAGTAATCTACAGTGGGGCGGTCAGTAGAGTGAATTGGAAACTAATTCTGAGCCTGCTTTTAGGGCTGTTGCAGCCGTGGGCTCATCTGTATGCTGTGTTCTCCAAGGTGCTTCCTCGTGACTACTGCCAAGCCAGACATTCTTCTGGAGTTAGGAAGTACTGTTACCTACAGAGCTGAAGGAACTAGTCATTAGCTAGGGCAAGAATATTTTTAGTCAGTACTGTGTCAGAGAAAAGGGAGGAGAAAATTTACATTCTCCGAGGGTATGCTGTACCCTTGGAGGGTACAGCACTGCCAGGTTTCGTGCATAGTTTCATTCAGTCCTCACAATAACTTGGAGGTAAATATTGTTATCCCCATTTTCAGAGCACTTAACTTTCATAAGGACATCACAGATCATGATGAGGACCCAGGATTTTCCCTGGATCTCATAAAGTTTCCCATTGTTCCAAAGTGCCTTCCATGTTTACTCCTCAGCGTGGGGAAAGCACCTCAGTGAGTCTGAAAAGATTAGTGTTTCAGTGATTAAAACAACTTAATTCATTTTTAAACCATTTGGGGAGGGAGGGAGGAACTGTGGTAACACTAATATGATTCTTCTGAGCAAAGGGAAATGTCCTTTAAGAATGAAAGAAATCGGGCCTCCCTGGTAGCACAGGGGTTAAAGACACAGTACTTTCAAGCTATTACCAGCCACTGCAACATGATTTCTATCCCCAGCCAGGGAGCAGCCCACGTGGTGCAGCAGACCTCTCCTGTCTCTCCCACTGCTCCCCTCAGCAGTGTATTTCAGTAGATCCACTTGTTCTGCTCCCCACTCTCTCTTGGAATCTTCTCACCACCACCCCCACTTCTGGCCTTGTATGCATAAGTTCTTATATGCATAAATCTTTATTTTATTTATTTTTTAAAGATTTATTTGTGCATACAAGAGCTGGGGTACAGGCCAGAGGTGTTGGGGGTGAGAGGATTCACCAGAGACAGAGTGGGGAACAGAACAGGAAGATTGGGGCCTCCCTGGAGGCGCAGCGGCTGAGCACTGGGTTGCGAAGCTGCCCCCAGCCTCTGCAGCTCTGGTTCGATTCCCGGCTGCTCCCCAGCCACCGGAGGAGGGGCCCACGTGACGCACAGACCTCTCCTGCCGCCCGCTGCTCCCCTCAGCAGTGTACTTCGGTCCTTCTGCCTGCTCTGCTCCCTGTTCTGGCTCTGGTGAATTCTCTCACCCTCCCGCGCTTCTGACTATACCCAGTGCATGTATAAACAAAACAAATAAAATAAATAAATAAAGCATGCCTCTAAAAAAAAAAAAAAAAAAAAGCAGGAAGATTGACCAAAGTACACTGCTGAGGGGAGCAGTAGGCAAGGCAGGAGTGGTCTGCTGTGCCATCTGAGCTGCTCTCTGGCTGTCCAGGAATCGAACTCGTGCTGCAGTGGCTGCAGACAGACCCATAGGTTGCGTCCTAACCCTTGTGCCACCAGGGAGGCCCTTTTTTTTTTTTTTTTTTAAGATTTATTTTAATGCATACAAGAGCTAGGGTATATGCCAGGTAAGACAGGAGAGGTCTGCTATGCCATGTGGGTAGCTCCCTGGCCGGGGATCGAACTCTTGTTGCAGCTGCTGCAGATAGCTTCATAGTGCTGAGATTTAACTCTTTGCGCCACCTGGGAGGCCCCCAATACTTAAATCTTTAAAAAAAAAAATCATCCTCTTAGCCATCACTTGTAAGTAAGAGCGTAGTTGATTTCAAGTTTAGGTAGAAGTGGACCTCATCTACTAACCAGGGAGCTGATCTTTTTTTTTTTTTTTTTTAAGATTTATTTATGCATACAAGAACTGGGGTATAGGCTAGTGGTGTGGGAGGTGAGAGGATTCACCAGACAGTGGGGAGTCGAACAGGCGGATCTACTGAAATTACACTGCTGAGAGGAGCAGTGAGCGAGACAGGAGAGGTCTGTTGTGCATGTGGGTTGCTCCCTGGCCAGCTGGGGATCAAACTCGTGCTGCAGTGGCTGGCAATAGCTTGATAGTTCTGTCTTTAACGCCTGCTCCACCAGGGAGGCCCTCATTTCTTTCTTAAATAACTACAGTAGCTTAATAGAATGTGTAGACCTTTGGGTGCCATACAACTTTTAAAATCTAAAGATCATATTGGTCCCCACTACCCTCATTTCTGTTCCCCACTGTTTTCATATGCTGTCTTTACAAAGTAGTAACTGAGAATCCTGCTTCACAAAAATAATGTCATTAAAAAGAATGTAGCACGGTTTAACTTTCAAACTGAACTCCATTGCTCAAGCTAGTAGTTCGCATTGTGTTTAACTGTGTTGAATACTGTGGTGGTTTCCTCAAAAGTTTAAAATATCCCATAGCACCCCTGTGGTTTCACACTGGTACAGCTTGGAGTAGGTGTGCAGATCATGAAGGTGCATAGCTCTTCCTGTCTGTGCTATGTTTGTATCTGAGGCCCAAGGCTCTAATTAACTGAGGTTGGTAAGAGAAGCCTTGAGGAACATAAGTTCAAGGCTGGGAGACTCTCCCTTCTGTTGTCATTCACACATTTATATTAGCTTTCCTGACCAAAATTAGAGTTTTTTCTTTTGAAAATTTCGAGTTCTGCTTCTTGTACATTCATAATAGTTGATCGATTAGATGAAAGTGGATTCCTTCAGATATGTAAAGGAGTTAACCAGGAAGGGTCCTCGTGCCTGTTAGTTTTCCAGACTGGACTTCATTGTCATTTATACCTTCAATGTCATTTCCACCATCATTCTATGTTTGATTATGTCTCACTTAGTCCTTGCCTAAGCGGCCTTTCATTTCAGGCTTAGAGAAGTATGGTGGATGTGGCTTGCTACTTATAGGTTGAGTGACCTGTAATGGGATGGTTATTGACACACACACACACACACATCTATATATACACACATACATATGGAGGAAGGTGGGGAGGGAGCAGGGAATAATGAGGGAGCCTCACATAATGGCTTAACTGTTCATGTGTCTGCCATACAGTAGGAAGGGTGCCCTCTCAGTTCATTGCATGGGTCATGTGTCCCTTATTAATCCTGAAGTCTCTTCGCATTAGCTTTTCTCTGCCTAAATTTTGCACTTGGGTATAAAGGTGTCTGTCACATTCCAGGAGAGACATCCAGGAGACAGCAAAAATTACAATGAATGTATTCGGCATGAGACCATCAGAGTGGCCGTCTGTGACATGATGGAAGGAAAGTGCCCCTGCCCTGAACCCCTACGGTACGTGTGGGGAGGTCCTACTCGATACTTGGTATATTCCCTTTGGAGATTTAGCTTGTTTGCACCTTTGATGGCCTTGGGGCAATGTCCACCGTTGAGCACCAGAAGAAGACAAAGAAGGAAAGATGTGGTCTCCACCCAGGAGGAAGCTCAGAGCTCTCCCCTGTCCTTGGAAAGTGCCTATCCTGACGGACACAGTATAGCCCATGTCCTCAGGGAGGTTCCAAGATTGATGAGAACCTGCGCATACTGAAGATGTTCACCATTCTGTAGTCAAGTGAGGTGTAGAGCATTTCATAATATAATATACCCACTTCTTAGTGTTTAAGTTAATTTTTAAGTGTTAAAACCAGATGAACAAAGTTAGAATTAATGAAACAAAGAAACAAACCCTAGGAGAATATCCAGTGAAGTTTGAAATCAGGGAAGGCTTACGGAACACAAACAAGATTGAACAAGTCATGAGTTAAAGTTGAGATTGGAATGATTAGTATTTTTTTTTTTTAAAGATTTATTTTTATTTATTTATACAAGCACTGGGTGGGCCTCCCCGGTGGCGCAGCAGTTGAGCGCTGGGTTGCGAAGCTGCCCGCAGCGTCTGCAGTGCCGGTTCGATCCCCCGGTTACTCCCGGCCACCGAAGGAGGGTCCCACATGGCGCGCAGACCTCTCCTGCCGCCCGCTGCTCCCCTCAGCAGTGTACTTCGGTCCTTCTGCCTGCTCTGCTCCCCGCTCTGGCTCTGGTGAATTCTCTCACCCTCCTGCGCTTCTGACTGTACCCAGTGCATGTATAAACAAAAAACAAACGAACAAACAAACAAATAAATAAATAAAGCATGCCTCTATAAAAAAAAAAAAAAAAAGACTGCATATACAAGCACTGGGTACAGTCAGAAGCACGGGAGGGTGAGAGAATTCACCAGAGCCAGGGCAGGGAGCAGAGCAGGCAGAAGGACCAAAGGACACTGCTGAGGGGAGCAGCGGGCGGCAGAAGAGGTCTGCGCGCCATGTGGGACCCTCCTCCAGTGGCCGGGGAGCAGCCGGGGATTGAACCGGCGCTGCAGAGGCTGCAGGCAGCTTCGCAACCCAGCGCTCAACCACTGCGCCACTGGAGAAGCCCTGATTAGTATTTTTTTTTAAGATGTATTTATTCATGCATGCAAGAACTGGGGTACAGGCCAGAGGTGCGGGGGGCGGTAAGAGGATTCACCAGAGACAGAATAGGGACAGAACATGCAGACTGACAGAAATACATTGCTGAGGGGAGCAGCGGGCGAGACAGGAGAGGTCTGCTGTGCTGTGTGGGTTACCTCCCTGGCCAGCCGGGGATGGGACTCCTGCTGCAGAGGCTGCGGATAGCTTCACAGTGCTGTGCTTAACCCCTTGTGCCTCCAGGGAGGCCTGGAATGATTAGTATTGATAATCCAACTTAACTGCTGAGGTGTGAGGAAAATCAGCCATGTGTAATCAGTTGTTCCTTCATCCATTTCCATTGGAAAACCTTTGTGGGAAACTAAATCAAGTCTTCGGAACTCTAGCAGTTTTAACTTGGCATTAAGGTTAGCTAGTGAAGTAGTGAAACACGGACCCCCATCCCCACACCTGCATGTTCCTAATTTATGCTTCTCTGCTTGTTTTCTAGAGGGGTGATGGAGAAGTCCTTCCTGGAATATTATGATTTCTATGAGGTGGCCTGCAAAGATCGCCTGCACCTCCAAGGCCAGACTATGCAGGTAATACAGCCTTTGTTGCTTACTCCAGGGCCTGATAGCAAACCATGTGAAATCCTCCCCACACAGGTGACATTCACATCTCTCCATAGAATTCAGAGTCAGGAACCTGTATCATTGAGTAGCTGAGGCCCAGAGAGGAGATTGACTACCCTGGTCCTGAGGAGCTGGTTCTCAGTTCTAGCATATGACTGTGATGGTCGCTCCTGATGAGGACCCACCCTGTGTGACCTGGGTAGTCATTTCACCCCATTGGGCCCCAGGTTCCCTGTTGGAAAAATGGGGCAAATGGTCATTCTAACCTTTTGTTACTAGGATTCTGTAAACTGACTGTGGCGCATAGAAAGAAAGTAAGTTCTGGTCTGAAGTAGGCACTCATGAGTAGACTCTGAATTATTGTTCTTTCTAGCCTGGAGCTCCTTCCCTTCTTGGTCAGTAGTCTTTTCAAGCCCAGAACATTCAGTCCTCTCAGCATCTTACAGAAGATAAGGATTACCTATTAGCTTTCTTTTTCTGGTGTTCACAGAGAAAGAGGATTTAGGGGAACAGGTATACAGTGTTATATGTTGAACGCTTCCTATTAAAAACTAATTCTTTGCTCTACTGGGGAATGTGCTTCTGCTTCCCATAACAATGAAGAATTTAGGCTCCTTTAAAAAAAAAAGTTTCTTATTAAACCAGATTATAAATAGGCTCAAATATAAACAACTTGGTTGGTAAGAATGTGAGAACCTTCCTGTCCTGAAGGACCAGTGCATGTGATTTACAGGTGGTCTTGCTTGGAAATGTGGTAAAGGAGTAAGACAGTTCAAATTTGCTCCAGCTCTCCTTGGGCTGTTGTTTCTGCCCATCCAACACCCCCACCAACGGGAGTGAATGTCTTGTTCCCTTAGGTGCTGCTTAGAATTGGTAGTTTCTCTGGGCTTCCCGAGGACTGCCCACTCACACGCCACATTTATACTCGAAGGGCAAGGTTAGTTCAGCTGAGGTCAGTTTGTTTCCTAAACCCTCTCTGGAGTGTGTAGAAGGTGACACATACACACATCAGGAAGTCTCATTGCCCGTATCCAGCATTATTTCCAGTATTCCATCTATGAAGGAAAAATAACTCGTGACAAGGCAAGGGAGAGGGAGGAGTGACATCTAGGGAGGAGAAGGTGGGGTGGGTGGAAACAGCGAACAATGAAAGAGGGACAATTTGGAAAACTGACAGCTTCAGAGTAAGTGTGGATTCAGCCCTTGGGCATCTTAACCTTCCTCCACCCTTCTGCAGTTGACTTGCTTTTGAGGAATGCAGATACCTTTTAATGTCAGCCCAAGCCAGGCCTGTCCAGGGCACTAAGCATGCCAGAGATCTTGTTGTCTGCCATTTAAAACTTCGACACCGTACTCTGTTCCATGACTCAGAAGCTGAGCTTGTGTTTTACATGGTCCTAAAGCTGATCCCTCTAGAGTCAGCCAGCCAGACTTGACTCTTCCATCCGGCTTGTCTCCTTTCCCCCCACAGGACCCTTTTGGAGAGAAGCGGGGCCACTTTGACTACCAGTCCCTCTTGATGCGCCTGGGACTAATTCGCCAGAAAGTGTTGGAGAGGCTCCATAATGAGAACACGGAAATGGACTCTGATAGCAGCTCGTCTGGGACAGAGACAGACCTGCACGGGAGCCTGAGGGTTTAGACCCTGCTCCCTTCTCCCCTGCCCCCACTCGAGAGTCCCAGCAAAGTCCCTTCCCCCAACCCCAGGGTTGGAGAGGCACTGTGTATCTTCCCTCCAGACGTGGCGTGACGTCATCCCGCAAGATGGCAAGAACCAAGCAAGCTTGGATCCCAGGGTGTGGGAGTGGGGAGGCTGGTCCCCATCTGACATCCTTGGCTCTCGAGCTTCTGAGGCGATGTTCCTCCCATAATCAGGGGCCACGGTTACCTATGCAGGAGCACGTAGGGGAACGGCCTCTGGCAAAAACAAAACAACCAACACACCTCTCTGCAGGGCCAGCTCCTTAGGGATAAGTGGGAGGCAGCAAATCTCGAGAGGGAGTGTGCCCAATGATTTGTGGGGATATCTGGAAGGGAGCTTGGGGTGGGGGACTGTCTGTGACATTAAGCAGTCTGGGTGGTTATCTGTCTGTCTGTCTGCAGTCTTGAAGCAAGGCTTCCCGATGCCCTTTCCTCCCTGCTTCTCTTTCCCATGGGCCAGCATAATTTTGTTTTTCCTAATTTATAGTCACTGTTCTAGACAGACCAAAGAGAAGGAACAGTGGTGGAGTCTAGGCTGCTGATGAGTAAGCTTTACCTAGCACCTGAGCACCTTTCTCCTCTGCGCCCTACCCCCCATTTCTAGATTTAAAACAAGGTAAATGTGACTGGGACTGAAACAAGGTCTTGGTAAAGCCTGCACAGGCACCGAAGATGCTGAAAATGCCATTTGTTCCCGCAATCACTGATTTGAATAAGTTCCCAACACTGGCAGCTGCTGTGTGTGTGGGGTTAGAGCCATTGCATAGAATAGTCTTAACAGATTTTCATGAATACTAGTCACAATGAGGGTATTTCCCCTGGGGGTGGGGTGCAGCGGGGAGACTGATGCTAGTCCTGTTGTATTTTGTTTGGCTGTCCTTGTGTATTTTTCACCCCTACCTGTAGTCCCTCTCCCATCACTTCAATGCCCAGGGACTTGTGGTGAGCACAGGTAGCCAATGGCAGAAGGGGGTTGGGGCTGGGACTCTGGAGACTCCCCCTATCTCCCCAACCCTTCCCTCACAGCTGCTCTTTGTCACTGACTCTGATGGACGTTAGCCTGGCTATGTCGCTTCTCTATCTGTATTTAGCTGCAGTGATCCTTTAGCTGGTTGGCTCAGAAAAATGTGCTTTAGGTGTGCCCGGTGACACTGGGCATTGAGGGAATCCATCCTTCCCCTCTTTGGTGTGTTCTCCCCATACTTTCCAGATTCTTATTGATGCGGCTCCCAGTGGGGTTTTGGTGGTCCACATGACGCGCAGGGCCTCAGTCAGTATCCAGCCACGTGTAAGGGAGAGGATAACTTGATGCCTGCCCTGCCCGCTGCTATGGAGGCCTCTGCTTGTAGATCATGGGACTTCCCTGGGAGGGATTGTGGGGAGGGGTTTGGGCACAAAGGAGAATGTCCTACTTGGGAGGGCAGGAAGCAAAGAACCTGGACAGGAAGTAGGCTTGGGGAACGGAAGTTCATCTTGAATACCTGAATGTCTTCACATGGAGACTTAGAAAGGGACCCTGCTTCCAATTTCCCTTTTCCATTCCCAGAGCTAGTACAGGGCTTAGAAGAATGCCCTGGGTCTGTTGGTCCAGTGTTGTCTGTCATCCATTTAAGTGTTCCCACTTTCAAGTGACAATCCTCTCCTTGGCCCTGCCTTGGGCAGAGCACGTCTGGCATATGGCCTGACTTTTACGCCCTAATCTTGAGTTGAAGAAATATATGCACAGGAGTCAAAGAGATGTCTTTATATCTGACTGTACATAAATGAAGTTTTTTTTTTCCTTTTTGGTGCAATAAAGTTTGTTTTGGCAGAAGGAGGAAGCGCCTATGGGTGTGGGAGGGTTTGTGTAAAAGAATGGAGTCATCTCAACAACCACACCTCACCTAGGCCTGAAACTGTCGGGCAGAAAGTGCTCAGTGAGTTGTCTAGAAGCCAAAAATGGGTATATGGTGTGAAGAAAAGCAGGACTACTGGTGACATGTTTTCTGCCAACCAGAATAGAAGGGTCCCTTTGAGGCTATACTCTGGCAGTCAAGGAGAGGAATGCCATCTTAGCCTCAGTTGCTTCCAAAGAACCACAGGAGATGGGGAGTGACCTATGAGGACAGACAAGATGAGCTTAAGACTATATAGATTCCCTATGAAAGGAAAGATGTCTTGGTATGAATAGACCATCGGCTTTTCAGTTCTCTGGCACTAAAGCAGCCCTCCTTTGGAGATAATCGTTGAGACCATGACTTCCCAACTTTACACTGGCTTTCCAGCTCACCACCTTCCCCACTTGCTATAGAAGGCTCCTGAGTTTTGGTGCAGTTTTCCTCATGGTTGACCATGTGTGTGGGAAGAAATTACAACAGCCTGTGCTGTGCTAAGTGGAGATAGGGAAACGCATGGCTCTGGCTTAAGCAGAGCTCAGTAAATTGCTTCAATTCCTCGCTGTGGAGTTTAGGCTGCCTACTTGACTTCTGAGGTGTATATAACACTGGGCACTGGGTAGGTGTTCAGTAAATGATTCCTGTCTTAAAGACGAGGGATGTGATCATTGTAGGAGGGGAAGTTAGTAGGGAATTGGGAAAATAGTACTACATCCACTAATGGTTGGTTCCCCTCAAATTCCATTGTTCTCTTTCCTCTAGCCACTGTTTAACACTGACTGACTTCCTTCATACTCGTAATTGAGTCTGTCATAACCTGGAATCTCTACAGAGGAAGATGGAAGAGACTGAGAGTAAATATTATTTACTGGTCCATTGGGGTCTGCTGGTTTGAGATAAGAAACATAAGGGACAAGTTTGAATTAACAGCCTGTAATATATGTGTCAGGGCTATAAAGAAACTGGACTGTCTGGCCAGGAGACAGCCTTCTTTCTAGCCCAGCTCTACCATGAACTTGTAGATGACCTGTGCAAGTCATTTTACATGTGCTCACTGTTATCTATGTTACTCAGGTTATCCTTCCTGGATAAATGAGGTTTTCTCCAATAAAGATGCAATGTGAAGGCACTTTAAAAAAATAAAATAAAATAATGGGTGAAGAATACTGGGGGAAGAAAAAAACTTGGAACTTTTTCTGGTTTTCTTTTTTTTTTTTTTTTTTTGGTTTTTTTTTACAAAGTTGTCCAGGTTTTATTCACCAACAGCTCCTCCCTCTTCTCCCTGCCTGCTGTCCCCTTCCACACTTCCAGGGTCAAGGGAGGGCTTCTCTGGCCTCCTCAGCTGTAATCTCCTGGGAGTAGAGGTCAGTGAAAAGAGCTGGCAGCCAGTAGTGGGCCTCTCCTGGAGCCTGCAGGTCCAGCCAGGCTAGCCCTTCCTTCAGCAGGTGTTCCTGGAGAGAAAAGGTAGGAAGAGACATTTAAGGAGGGGATTTCCATAGTCAAAGTAGGATAGACAATCCCCAAACCTATTTTGGCCTCAGAGGGATTTTCAACCAAAATCTATATGGGTGCCTTCACATAACTACATAATCAAAAGGAATGATCTGTTTGGCCTTAACCTTTGGCGAGCTGTGAAAAATGCCACTCAGTCGGTCACTTAACCTGCTGCTAGGGAAGAGGGTAAAGACGAGTAGAGCGGGACACTGTAGAAGACTAAGACTACAGAAATATTTGCTGTGTGGCCTTGAGCAAATCACTGAGGCAAAATGGAGATCACTTTCAGCAATCTTTGCAGTTAACTTACTGGGAACAGATGCGGTAAACCTTTTTGGAACCGTTAATGGAAGGACCATGAGTATTAAAATGGACTCATTCCCTAGAGCTAGAATATGTTCTAGTTATGCCCAGTATGTTATTGTTAGCCCCTCCTTACAGATAAAGTTAGTCTATAGCTATTTGCCTAGATAAGGTGTTCAAAGCCAGGGGTACTGCATTCTCATGCTGCTCCCTCTTCACAACATCAGTCTTTCACTAGTTCCATGAAATCTGTATATAGAAAACTATAATATGCAATAAAAAATAAGAATATAGATGTAATTATCATAATTAGTTCATTCCCTTCACCCTGCATGAACAGTGTTACTTCCAGTACAAACTGTATTAGCCAAGTGACCAGACTACGGGTCAGGAGAGTAGGTGCTGGTGACTGGCCAGTAACAATGGCAAAACCCCTGGGTTTACACACATGGCAGGCTCAGAGGCCGGCCTTTGTGAGTTCTACCTCTCAGTGCCATCTCCAGAGAAATGCTGGGGTTATTTCTAGTGGCTGCAGTAGCCTCCAAGGCAAGAGGCCAGCAGAAAGAGGCTAAAATTCTGCCTGTGTGGTCCCTTTCCACCCACCTCCTGGCCAGGGCCCATTTTCTCTGGGCCATTCCAAAAGTCACATACCAGCACTTGCCGTGCTCGCTCGGTCTCCCATTTAAGACTGGCTTTGATATCACTGACAGTCACGTAGCCATTTTTCTGAAGGAAGGAGGAATAGGAAGTGGGTTAAGAGTGCTTTCCTTTAGAGCCACCATCTGCCCGAAGAAAATCAATTTATTTGGACAGGAGAAGGAACTGCCCTGGAGCAAAGACTCAGAGTGTAGAAAAATGCTTAGAGGTCCCAGCAGAGAGAGTGACTTTCAGAGTAACAGAGACAGGGTGGGGGGATTCAGTTTGAAAAGCAAGATCCTAAAGTATTAATTCAGACTTTCTCAGAGAACTCTATATAGAGTATAACAAGGAAAAGCTGATAAGAAGGAATGATAATCACTCACTGTTCATAGACTGAAAGATTTAAATACTCAGCCTTCGTCCTGCTTCCCCTTACCCATTCCTCAATCAGTCCCCATGCCCTCTTATTTAGTTTGTTCTCCATCAAAGAATTAAGGAAACTCAACATGTCTTCCCTAAATTCATGATAAAGATTTGGAGAAAGATGGTATACTCTTAAGGCTTGCCAAGAAACAGGAGGATATAAAGAAGATTCAATATTTGTTTAGAAGAAGCCATAAAGTAATTTTAAAAAGAGATCAAAGAGTCTGTCTACCCAAGGAAAAATAGCTGCCTGCATGCCTGTCTATTCCACTAGACTGTAAGCTCCTTGAGAGCAGGAACTATATGGTACCCATCTTTATATGCCCCACAGGCTAGCCCAGGAATCTGCACTGTAGCTGCTCAATAAAGGTCTGCTAAATAAGCACAGGTCTGAGTAGTTCATCCCTTAGACATTCTCAGCAAAAGACCTGAGTGACAAAGAGAATATCAGCACTGAGCAGAATCCCCTCCCAGACCGCCCCTCATGCACCTCTCAGAAGGCACACCAGTACCTCTGCCAGCTGCAGCACCACAGTGTGATCCATATTGAGCTCAGCTGGAACGGACTGAATGAGGTAAGTGCCGCCCACAGGGATGATGCCGAAGCCAGTGCCAAGTGCCTTTAGCTTCTTGATGGCCCGGATCAGGTCGTCTCTGAGGTGAGGAAGAGCTGCTTAAAGACTACTCTTGGTAAACCAGGCCTAGCTACAATACAGTTTCAGCCCTGGGCAGGATTTCCTGACAGAAGACTCAAAAAGCTGAGCCACAGGTAACAACATTTAACATTACATACTAACAAACATTTAATTAAAGGCACCAAATGGTGTTTCAACATTCACGAGAAATGGAACAGGAGTCGGGCTCTCCACTCAGGAAGCCATTCCAGTATCCAGAGGTCAAAAGTATGCCCAGGGCCTCCCCTAGTGGCGCAGTGGTTGAGCGCTGGGTTGCGAGGCTGCCCGCAGCCTCTGCGGTGCCAGTTTGATCCCCAGCCAGCGGTGGGGGTCCCACCAAAAAAAAAAAAAAAAAAAAAAATGTATGCCCACAGGAACCCATCAGGAAATATGAATGAATGAGCTGAACTTAAGAGACAATAGGGAGTAGTGTGAATTGTGGCAAAAAAGAGTGCTTATCCATTTCAAAGTGGGCAACCCAGCTGATCAGTGCCATTTGGAAATTCAAACCCAATTCTGACTTTGATTTCTTAGTTGACAATGAACTCAAGTTAGGCAAAAAGAAAACCCACAGATCAATATAGCCAGCCCACACACTGACAGCCTTTTACCTTTTTATCAAATTGAAGTCATACATCGAACCAGAAGAACCAGGTCAATATATACCCCAACTTCTGACCCCACAGCCCCTTCCCCAGCCTTTCTCAGTGCCTGTTCTACTCTTCCTTGACCTCAAATAATCAAGAGCATACAAGCTTTTAAAAAATGGCACAGAAAAGCAAAATGCTTATATGCAAAATGTTTTCAACATTTTGTAATCTCCATTGAAAAATGAGTGTTTTTTCTGTATTTTCATTTTTCAAAATATCTTTTTTTTCCTGATCACAAGAGTGAAAATAATTTCTTCCCTAGACATGCAAGCAACATAGAGAAAAGATTTCCATTTGATTTTAAAGATTTTCTATACTCGAAGGGGTTGGAAGCAAGACCTACTGGCTGACATCCTGGGCGAATTTGCCCCTTCCTTTTAACACCTGTTGATGTAGTTCTTCCAGAGTTATCAGACCTATTGGAGATGGGAGGACAGAAAGCAAATGAAGGATTACCTTTATGGCTGACAAAACAAAGGTAGTATCACCTCTAAAAAACTATAAATGTTCTTGATCACAAGGCTCTTTCTATTCATAATAATTTTTTTTTTTAAAAGATCATGTATCTTTTTTTTTAAGATTTTTTTTTTTTAATTTATTTATACAAGCACTGGGTACAGTCAGAAGCGCGGGAGGGTGAGAGAATTCACCAAAGCCAGAGCGGGGAGCAGAGCAGGCAGAAGGACCGAAGTACACTGCTGAGGGGAGCAGCGGGCACAGCAGGAGAGGTCTGCGCGCCATGTGGGACCCTCCTCTTGTGGCCAGGGAGCAGCTGGGGATCGAACCGGCGCTGCAGAGGCCGCGGGCAGCTTCGCAACCCAATGCTCATCCGCTGTGCCACCAGGGAGGCCCCAATAATTTATTTTTTTTAAAGATTTATTTATTCATACAAGAGCTGGGGTACAGGCCAGAGATGCGGGGGGTGAGAAGATTCACCAGAGACAGAGTGGGGAACAGACCAGACAGATTGACCGAAGTACACTGACAAAGTGAGTCAGGAGAGGTCTGCTGCGCCATATGGTTTTCTCCCTGACCGGGGACTGAACTCATGCTGCAATGGCTGTGTATAGCTTCATGGTGCTAAGACTTAACCCCTTGCACTACCAGGGAGGCCCTTAAGTTGTCTTTATTCTGCACACCATGCAATGTGCTTATGACCATTTTTAAGGCCATATTTTGGGGAGCACAGACAGTTAGTGTTATATTCTAGAGGGGCAGACCAGGCCTACAATCACTATAAAATTAGAGCCCAAGCACTTCAGGGCCTATTTCCTACCTCCCTACTATTTTCTGTAATGATGAGGGGCAAGATCTTTCTGGTCAGCAATCTTTGGAGAACAGAGCAATCATTCAGGTAATTTCATTTACCCTTGGCCATGGAGAACTGCCATGCATGAAGCAACTAAGATTTCTCAAGACCTCATAGCTTCTCAAGACCATGCAGTCCTACAGACGGCAGGACGAAAAAAGATCGTCTATCAGGATTTTCTCCCTCTCAGGTAAATTCAAATTCTAGTCCACATGAACTTGCCACTCTCACCTCCATTCCGGTGCTTCAGGGCCAGGCACACTTCAATAATCTGGACACCCAGTTCATAATAGAAGTCCCCCACGCCTAGCATCTCAGACCAAAATCCTTTTCCAGCTAAAAGAAAAGCAAAAGCTAGGTTACTCATCAATTTACATCTTTTCTTTCAAAGCTAACTTAAACAGCCATCCTATGGGAAATCTTCCCTGCCTCGCCTTAATGCCTTTTGCTCTAATTACAACTCAGGATCCTCAACACAATCTAACTCTTGATGGATAATTTCTGCTAAAGAACAGGTTCAGACAGTTCAAAAGGGTGGGCAATCGAAAAGCCATTTTCATCTGGCCACTAATTCTGGCTCAGAATACTATAAAAATTAGTTTCTCTTTCCAAAGCATATACTGAAATATAGTAGGACATGTGGACTAGACAAGGCTAAGGCATACCCAGTACTCAAAAATCCACTGGAGGCAATGTATTATTGACTGAAAAATGCAGGTTATAGAGTGGTGATTACAGCATAATCCCATATATGTAAAAAAAAGCGTACATACAAGAAGGTTTCTAGGAAGATAGACTTTAAACCATTAACAGTCCTTTATCTCTATGATTATGGGTTAGGAGACTTCTACTTTCTCCTTTTCTTCTTTCCCTTTTGTTGATGTGTTTTTATTTCTTAATAAAGGAGAAACATAGTCATAAAAAATTACTCTGTAGATCAAAAGAAGATCAGCCTACTCCACAACATCCCCCATCATCCCCATCACAAGGGGCATGCAATCATCCTGCTAGGCACTCCCTAAAGACAGCATCTTCTGGATCTCCCTGCAGGCCTTTCTGAAGATACCCCAACAGTAGTAATGACAACCAGGTACGCTGCTGTCCCTTAGGAAACCTAGGAGAACACTGGACCCCTATAGACAACGCCTTACAGGCCAGAGGATCCACCCCAATGGTGGCACACATGTCCTGGAACTGCACCCGGAACTCAGGATTCTTCCGGATCTCCTGCTTGTGCTTGCTGGCAAATTCCTCCAGGTTGGTCTTGAACATGTCCAACTGCTTTGACATCTGTCAGATGGACAAGGGGGTGGTTAGGGGCAGCCCCGCCAGGTGATAATCAAATGCCAAAAACAGGTACCTGACCCAGAAGTAGGCTATCTCCTTCAGGCCCCATTATGCTGTTTACTGTTCCCATTCTTTTTGTCCCTGTCTCTCCTTCACAGTTCTGCTGTCAGCAGAAATGAAATGCTGTAGTGTTTCCTCAATTTATTTTCACAAGTTCCTGTTGTAAAGTCAGAGTGCATCTAACAATCGATGTGCACATCTAATGTGGCGCTTCATTTTATTTTTTCCAGAATAAAATATCCAAAACATAGTTACTAAACTGAAGGAGCACATAATAATCCATTTGGCCTTAAAGTTCGGGAATTCATCATTCATGCAGTGGAAAATTTTCAGCCACTGACAGAAAGGCTAGATAGGAGAAAAAGGAAGCGTGGCATAAACTAAGTATGTAGCGGTTGTTTAATCTTTGAGTGATGGACATCCTTGGGGATTAACTCCAGGTAGAGAATTCCCAATGGAGGATGTGGGTGCAGCAGATGATATTCTAAAGCTCAATACAAATGGTTTAGAGATTTTCTGACTTCTTATTTGTATACTCCTTTTCTTTCCCTAAATAACAGCCTATCTCTTGGTCCGACATTTCCTCATTTGCTGCATATTAGAAACTTTCCGTTGCTACTGCCGTGAGTGCAAACTTCTGAAGAGCAGAGCCTGTGTCTACTAGCTCTCCTCAACTCCAGGGCCAGTTTGCCTTGCCTCCTCCTCACCTTCACCAGTAACAACAGAATTCACCAAAGCATGCACAGAAAAGGGAAGTGTTAGAGAAGGAGACTGCCAAAGCAATGTTTTCATGTTATTCTTAGGCATTTAAAGAAAACCTCCCGCACACATACCCTGAAGACCTAAATCAAACAGCTCCAGCATTTACTACCCATGTGACCTGGGATAAATTACTCGACACCCAAGTCTCCTCAAGTCTAAACTGGAAAGAATAAAGTTCCTGATAGGATTGTAAGGAGAAAAGAACATAATAGTGTATGTAAAGAAAATGGACAGATGCCTGGAACGCTACACGCAGGTAATCACCCAGAGACGTTAACTATCATTGTTATTAGCAAGTCACCTAAGGGATTTGAGCAGCCCAGAAATCGGAAGGACTTGCCATCTACCCTACTTAAAAGTTCAATCCAAACAGTCTTGTTTACATCAAAGGCATCCTTTCCAACCTTGGCGGGGCTCCCTTCCTACCTCGGGCCCTCTAACAGACTCACCTGCACCAGCTGGTCTTCAGCCAAGACAGTCCCTCGCTCCTTATACTTGGCCTGTCAGACAAAGAGACCAGCGTGAGTTGAGAGTGGGCGCTGCCTCATACTTCATGACTCAGCTGAAGTATGAAAAGAGGAGGGTCGTTCTTAAACAGCTTCTTAGGGAGAGGGAGGAGGAAGTTGAAGAGACTCATCTGTAGTCAAATTTGGGGGAGGGGGAGGGGGTTGGCTGGTGGATCTGGGGGTGCTGACATTCCAAGCCACCGGAAGCAGGAGAAACTCAGTTTCCCAGGAAGGTGAAGGCTGTCAGATTCTGACGGCAGGCGAGCTGAGGATACAGAGCTCTGCTCCGCGGCTTCAGTCCCTCGCGGGTCAGGGGTGGCTGTGGATGGGCCTTCTCCCCTCACCTCAGCAAGCTTCTTCTTGGCGATGGCGCCAGCTCCCACCCCGCGGCGGTGCATCCCGCCCTGGGCCCGCGGGCCGCCCCGCAGCCGGGACCCCGGGTCTCCCCGGGTCTCCGCTTCCCGGGATCCGCCGGCAGCTCCCCAACGCGGAAGCGCGAGGCGCGCGTCAACTCCGCGCGCCGGAAGCCCGTCGCCTGCTTCCTGCCGCGGGCGGAGAGCTCCTGCGGCGCGGGGCCCAGCCGCCCCGCCTTTTGCTGGTCGCGGGGCACGACGAAACCCGATGGTGGAGAAGACGCGGATACGAGCCCCCAGCCAGCTTCGCGCTGCCCCCGGCTCACTTTCCACGCGGGCGCCTTGACCTTCTGATCTTCCCACGACCCCCCCTCCACTCCCACCCCGGCCTCCAGCAGGTCATCCAGTGCTCTGGCCACCGAATGCGTGCAGAGTTGGACGCCGAGGGTTCCATTGTGAGCATAAAGGAGAATCCAGGCCGCTCTCATGAATTTACCTGTTGAAATCACGCAGAGATTCACACCAAGGAAGGCCTTGCGGTTAAGAACTAGAACTCGAGTTAGATGACCAAGCTCCATAGCTCAGCTCTGTAACTTAAGACAAATTCTTTGATCTTTTGTGAGAGAATAATAGCAACTCATGAGGTTATTGGGAGGATTAAGTGAGAAAATATACAACAAAGCATTTAGTGCATGCCTGGCACATAAATACCAGTCAGTTATGACTGTTACTCATCAGATCCGGGGTAAAAAATAGTCTTCTGTATGATTGGAAAGCTCCATAGGTCATCTCGATGGCATTACCGAGTTTAACAAGGAGCTAATGGGGGATTCTTTTTTTTTTTTAAGATTTATTTTTATTTATATGTGCAAGAACTAGTGTACAGGCCAGAGGTGCAGGAGGGACGGTGAAAGGATTTACCAGAGACAGAGTGGGGAGCATAACAGGCAGATCCACTGAAATACACTGCTGAGGGGGAGACAAGAGAGGTCTGTTGCGCCATATGTTGGTCAGCTCCCTGGCTGGGATCGAACTCATGCTGCAGTGGCTGGCAATAGCTTGACAGCGCTGAGATTTTAACCCCTCACCACCAAGGAGACCCTAATTGGGGGATTCTTAAATCAGGGTATATTAATATCAAATTTTTGTTTAAAAAAAAAACAGCAAATCTGGGCTTAATTACGTCATTTATAACAAACTGAAACAAATGATGAGGGCAGTGAGAATAGGAGAGATTCATGAAATGCTAAGAAGGTAAGATGGTAACACTGATTAAAATGGGGACAGATTGGATGGAAAGTCAGCACAATTGTTAAGTTTTCAGGCTTGGTTAAGTTTTCAGTTTTCTGGCAGTATTCAGAAATGGGGGACCACAAAATGAAGTTCGGGAAGTAATTAAGAGTGGTTTCGGAGATGTTGAAATTGAGGTCTGTGGTACATCACAGGAGACCTAGCCAGCTGTTAATTGGATATGATGGCAAGAAGTTCTATGGTAGAAACTGAGCTAGCCTACATTTCTTCAGCAGGGAGAAACCATGTGTGTGAATAATACCAGAGAGGTTTCAAATAGAAGGAGAAAGAAAAAGGAAGGGAACAGAAATGGGTAGCTGGACATTTAGCTGTCACTTCAGACCTTGAGAGACAATGGATTCCAAGCCCGGTAAACCTGGGTGCCTGAGAATTTTGTGGAGCGCAGCATACCAGTCATGAATTGGCAGCCTGTCTCTAGATGTTTACAGTAAAGAAAATAATGTTCAGTTTGTTAAAGCAGTGACTAGTTTGTGTTTTTCTGTTACTTGAAACAGAATCTAAGGTTAATGGATGCAAGGACCAAAGTTAAGCAATCACTCAGCCTTTCATAGCCATATCTTCAGATTCACTTTCATATGTCCTCAGATATATAGCCCAGACAGCATAAGCCACCTTTGACACAAATTTACATTCTCAGACACAGATTTGTCCCTTCTTTTTTATTTATATATTTTTTAAAGACTTATTTATTGATGCATACAAGAACTGGGGTGTAGGCCAGAGGTGCAGGGGTAAAAGGATTCACCAGTGACAGTGGGGAGCAGAACAGGCAGATGTACTGAAATACACTGCTGAGAGGAGCAGCTGGGGAGACAAGAGAGGTCTGCTGCGCCATGTGTGTGAGTTGCTTGCTGACTGGCAACAGCTTGAAAACCCTGTCTTTTAACCCCTGTGCCACCAGGGAGGCCCAGAGCACAACTTTTAATTCTCGACCTCCTGGAGGCGCTGTTGTGTGTGGTTGACATCTATTATGGTGTTATCTTAAAGGGTTTTGATGAGGCTTTAAAGATCAACATAATTTTTTCCCCAATGAGGTTGATTAAGTCTGGAGCACAATGCCTAGCCCATAGTGAGAGCATTGTGTGTGTGTGTGTATTTATTTATTTGTTTGTTTATTTATTTGTTTATTTATTTATTTATTTTTAAAAAACCTGATTCACTGACACCCTTCCCCCAACCCCACACACTCATATCCAAGATCCCAGAAATATGGATCCAAACTTGCCTACATAAAGAGTTCTATGGAGCATCACTAGAATATACCCTCTGAGCAGAGGTATGCTCTCAGTTGTGTGGTGCACACTGTCAGAACTCCAGCAGTTTAGAGGAGAGGAAATCAAGGAGGTCAGAGGGGAAGGAAGAGATTGCAAACTGGCAGCCCTCAGGCGAATTCAATTCTCAAAAGAGTTTTGTTTGGTCAGCAGAAGGCTTTAGGGGAGCTTGTCTTTTCCATTTTCACAGTCCGCATCCTCCCCATTGTCCCGCACCCTTCCCACTTTGCTCATTCATGTTATTGGCACAGTCGTCCAGCCTATCCAGTTTGCTACTCCCTGATTTTTAAACTAATACCCTTGTATTTTTAAACTGAGGAAACTGAGGCTTAAGTGTGTGAAGAAGAATGGCAAAAGTTAACTTTCATTGACCACTTACACTGTACCAGGAATTATCTTAATTAATATTTACTTCAATCCTATGAGGTAGATACTTCTTTATCTTTTTTTTTTTTTCTTCCCAGGCAAGAAACTGAGGCTCAGAGAGAGGAAAACCTGCCTAGTCACAGACCTAGTAAGGGATTTGAATCTAAGTGTGTTTAACTCTGGGCCACTGAATCGTGACTAGATCACATTTGACGTGATCACTTTTTTTTTTTTTTTTGACGTGATCACTTTTGATAGAAGAGGTAATATTCAAGGCAAAGGTAGTCCCAGCTAAGGAGGAGAAACAACCTTGCCTTCTGCGAATGCAGGGCGTGGGAGAAGGCAGCAGACTGAGCTCAGGAAGGCTTGGAACACTGGAAGTTAAAGGTATAAGGTTTGGGGGCCTCCCAGCGCCGGTTCGATCCCCGGCCACCAGGTGAGGGTCCCACATGGCACGCAGACCTCTCCTGCAGCCTGCTGCTCTCCTCAGCAGTGTACTTTGTCAGTCTGCCTTCTCTGCTCTCCCCTTGGCTCTGGCGAATTCTCTCACCCTCCCACGCTTCTGACTGTAGCCAGTGCTTGTATAAATAAATTTTTTTAAAAATTAAAAAAAAAAAAAGGTATTAAGTTTGGGACAAGTTTGCCCACTTCCCTTCACCCTCTCCTCCATCACCCTAGTGTAAGCCTAGAATCCTACAGGAGCAGTCTTCCACTTCCACTTTCATCCCTGTTCATCTCAATATAATCTTCACAATCATCAGAGTGATTGTTTGGAAATGCAAATAGATCTTCTCTGATCTGTTCCTGCTTAATATTCTACCAGGACTCTCCCTTGTACTGAGAAGAAAATCCAAAAGCTCTTAAGTGTTCTGATCAGCCTCTACCTGTGTTCCTCTCCCTATTGTCCACTTTGCTACATAACAATAACATTGGCTAATATTATTAAGGCTTCACTCGCTCTGTGTATAAGTGTGTGTTTTAGAATGTCTTACATTTTTAATCCTTTCTTTACAGGCTATTTAGACCACTTTTGATTAAGAAAACTGGAGGAAGTTAGTAACTGCCACATGCAAACACCAGGTGGTGACATGTTTAAGTTTTCCGGAGTCCAGCTTTGCAGGGTGTCTGAATGCACTCTTGGGGGTTATCTCTACTCACTGTGGAAGCAATCATGGGAGATTTTACTCCACGGGTCACTTTTCCCCATATTTATTTGTAAACTCTCCAACATTCTTATGGTCTTCTTTACAGTTCTTAGAGTATTTCGTTAGGTCAGCCTGAAGAGGGTGCTTTGGGTTGGGGGGGGTCATTCACCAGTGCTCTAAGGGACTAGATTACTCATCAGTTTTGGTGCTGGCTTCCAGTTTTCAGCAGTAGTTATTGGCAAACAGACCTGTCCTTTTTCATCTGTGTTTAGGTAATAGATTTTTCTTCCTTTTTTTTTTTGTTGTTGTTGTTCCTTTTTTTTTTTTAAAGATTTATTTATTTATGCAAACAAGAGCTGGGGTGCAGGCAAGAGATGTGGGAAGAGAATTCACCAGAGACAGAATGGGGAGCAGAACAGGCAGATGTACTGAAATACACTGCTGAGGGGAGCAGCGGGCGAGGCAGCAGAGGTCAGCTATGCCATGTGGGTCAGCTCCCTGGTTGGGGATCGAACTTGTGCTATAGTGGCTGTAGACAGCTTCATAGTGCTGCATCTTAACCCCTTGTGCCAGTAGGGAGGCCCCAGATTTTGGTTTTAAATGTGATTTTCAGTGCTAGAAAGTTGATTTCAACTATAAAGACCACTTATATACAGGGTTGTCAAAGACGATAAGCCCTCATCGAGTCAATAAATTAGCTTCCTCAGCCTGGTTGTTAGGGAAGTTTTTCATTCCACATTTGCAGATTTCTTCAAGCTCCTTTGTCAGACTTCTGCTGGCTGCCATTGTGGACCTGACACTGCTGCTTCCTTAGAATGATCCACAGTCCACCAGTCCTTTGGCCATTTTATCCTTCAAATCTCACTCAGCATAAGAGTCATTTTCTTGGTGAGGCTCTCCTGATGACCCCACTTCTTCTACATAAGGCTTCTTTACCCTCCCTAGTAGCACTCTAGTCTTTTTTTTTTTTTTAAGATTTATTTATTTATGCATACAAGAGCTGGGGTACAGGCCAGAGACCCAGGGGGGTGAGAGGATTCACCAGAGACAGAGTGGGGAACAGAACAGGCAGATTAACCGAGGTACACTGCTGAGAGGAGCAGCGGGCAAGTCAAGAGAGGTCTGCTGCGCCATGTGTGTAACTCCCTGGCCAGCCAGGGATGGAACTCATGCTGCAGAGGCTGTGATTGCTTCATAGTCTGGTGCTTAACCCCTTGCGCCACCAGGGAGGCCCCCACTCTAGTCTTTTTTCACAAAATTTAGCATACTGGGTGCATGGATATATTGGGTCAAAGGGGTCAGCTGTATGATGGGAGCAGAACTGGACATTTAGTGGTAAACTTAATGTAGTATAGACACACGTTGATGCACACCTGAAGCAATGTCATATGCAAGGTTAATTCGATAGAAAAATAAAAACTTAGCACACTGTGTGATTCCTAATGTGTTTGTGTGTTTAAAGATTAAAGTCCATCTTTATCACTAGACTGTAAATCCTCCAGGGACAAGGATTATTTGCTGTGTTGCTGTTGCTGATCTCAAACAAAAAGCAACCAATGAATCAACAAAATGGGTTTATTTGGAAACAATAACAATAAGGAAATTTGGAAAGCACAGTCTCCTGGTGAGGCTGACATGCACTTTCCTAGATCAAAAGCCGGCACCCCCTTAGATAGTCTTTGGAAGGGCTGCTGCCGAGTAAAGAACATTTCTTCCACCGTGGTGGGGAAGCAACATCACTTCTGGTGGAAGGCATGTTGGGTCCTGTAGTTGCTGATTGAATATACCTAGGAAGGTTCTTCTAGCCTCCTAACCTCATTTAAATAGGGTTTTTGTATGTTGATTTTCAAGGTGTATACCCAGTGGTTGGCACAGTTCCTTCCTATGTGAAGTTTCCAGTAAATGTTCGTAGAATAAGTGGATGAATTAACAGATGCAGGTAAGAGCCATGTCTCATTTTTAATGGGTGGCACACGCACAAACATACACTGCTAATGCTCTAGACATTTGAATAAGTATTTGACAATGGGCACAGAGATTTTATGTCAGCTTAAGCTTTATTGGTTTGGTTTCTCTTGGGTACCCGGGAGTGGGGCTATGGTGGGAGCACAGTATGTGGAGGGCACACACCAATCCTGAGCTGGCTTTGGTAAGAATCACTGAAACCTGGGGAGGGTGGAGAGAGAAGAAGAAGTGGTGGAGCTCATTATCAGCCTAGAGTCAGCAAAACCAATTTATCCCAACATGCAGCCATAGCTCACCTGATCCTATCTCCAAATTACTTTTCAAATCATAACTAATCAAACTAATTCAAGAAAGTGCAGACTGTAGGCTACCCTCCCATGGAGGCTTTCTCATACTTCATTGTTCCGGTCACACTACCTCTCCCTTCTTACCCTCTTACACTAAGCCACCCCAGGTTTGTTCCCTCAATCCTTCCCTGGCTTCCCAGCACCGAAGTCTGAGTGTGTTTTGGTTTCTTTGCCTTTGCCTTGGTATCTGTGTCTCGAGCAAGTGTCGAGTCTCACCCTTTAGGTAAATGGATCTCTCCGTGGTATTTAGCCATCCTCACTTTGGGGGCATGATAGATTGAAACACTTGCTACCTGGTGAGATGGATTCAAGAACAATTAGGACCAGTGGTGGCTACAGAGAGGGCGAACATGCCTCCAGCTATAAAGCTTCTATCACTGGGAAGGTGTCATGGCCCATGGTACAGGGGGAAAGCTGAGAATAGGGTGAATAGCACAGCCCAGATGGGGAGGGGTGCTGAGGGTAGCATCTCACCTGGAGGAAACTGAGTAAGAAGTGCAAGTGGTAATTATCACTGTCAACATTGTGGAACTCTTAGTGTTCCTCACCTGTTTCTCCCAGCTCTTTCCATGGAATTATCTTAGTTACCTTCCAAAAACATGTTCAGAAAAGCTAAGTAATTTGCCAGCATGTCTTGGGTGGAGATCTAAATTTGCATCTGACCCCAAAGCTCCCGCTTATAACCACAGTGTAGAACACTTAAAACTACCCAGACCCCCACCTGAGCCTGCAGAGGTTTGCCTGATCCACCATCCAAGCCAGCAGCTCTTGAAACAGTAAGTCCTTTAACATATCTTCATCACTCAGGTCCTTGTGTGCAGAGCTGCCAAGGAGAAAGAAAGGCCCAGGCAGCCCTTATAGTCTGATCCCTGCCGGAGGGAGTAAATACTAGGACTGGGACTGCAGGGGCAGGTTGGGGCTGAGGAGAGAAGCAACACAACAGCCTGCCTCTCAGTTATCTCAGCTTTCAAAGTTCCACCCAGATCTGGCAGGGGCTGGTGTGTGTGGAGGTGGGGGTGGTTATGGGCAAAGCCAAACAAAATTCTTGTAGGAGGGACAGACCACTACCCACCTTGATGAGTCTCCCTGAATGCATTCCAAAAACCCAAGAAATTTACATTGGGAATATTCACTGGTTAGAATGACATGTTCCATAGATTCCTAACTTCCTCAGAGACAGGGTAACTGATTTTGGGGGACTGGCCTTGGGAGAGTCCTCCTGTTCCACAGTCTTCCCGAAACTTGGCAGAGAGAGGTGGGGAAGCCAGTGCCAGAGGTCTCTTTCTCTACTGCCACTCTCCTTGACTCGGTAACAGCACACTCAGCTCTATCTTAGAAACCCTGGTGCCCAACCCCCTCCAAGACCCCACCCCCATTCCTCCCAGGCTTCTCCCTTAAGGGGCTGACCTCAGGAGGTCAATGAAGACCCCTCTTTGAACTCTGAGTGGAAGAGGATTCTTATCTGGATCCTCAGCTCTGCTTGAGGGAGGAGGGGGTCTGGTGGAGGGAACAATAAGGTGGGGGCGTGTCAGGAGGCCCCACCACTACCCTTTCCCCTGGGGGCTTACTCACCCCTGCTGTTCCCTGGCCTCCTCCTTCCTGTTAGATTGATGGGCCAGCTCCAGAGCAGGGGCCTCCCTCTGGGTGAGGTTGTGTTTCCAGCTGGTAAGATAAAGATTTGGGAGCGGGGGGGGCTTCCCCGGTGGCGCAGCGGTTGAGCGCTGGGTTGCGAAGCTGCCCGCGGCCTCTGCCGCGCCGGTTCGATCCCCGGCTGCTCCCCGGCCACCGGAGGAGGGTCCCGCATGGCGCGCAGACCTCCCCTGCCGCCCGCCGCACCCCTCAGCAGTGTACTTCGGTCCCTCTGCCTGCTCTGCTCCCCGCTCTGGCTCTGGTGAATTCTCTCACCCTCCCCCTCAGCAGTGTACTTCGGTCCCTCTGCCTGCTCTGCTCCCCGCTCTGGCTCTGGTGAATTCTCTCACCCTCCCGCGCTTCTGACTGTACCCAGTGCTTGTATAAACAAACAAACAAATAAATAAATAAATAAAACATGCCTCTATTAAAAAAAAAAAAAAAAAAAAAAGATTTGGGAGTGGGTGGGACTGGGGGAGACTCCAGATATTCTCCAGTCTAAGAAACTATGGAATCTTTTGGTACCTCAACCAGAGAAGCAGAACGGGTACCCCTTTCTCCACTGAATTTTACCACTCGTTATCCTCAGCAGCCAGTGAGAAGCTCTCCAGAATCAACCATGCTGACTAAAGACTCAGGGCAGGGAAAGAGTCTTGGCAAAGAGAAGGAAGGATGAAACAGTTGATCCTTTTCCAAAGTATAAAGGGACTACCACCTAACAGTCAATGGCAGCGGCTCAGCTCCCCTTACCTTCATCCCCAGCCCCCTGGGATCCTTTGTGAGCCCCACAATTTCCTTGGACCCCTTTCCTTAGGAGGAAAGGATTGGAAAACTGGCCTAGGGTCCTGGCCAGGGCCGCCATGCTGTCATCTAGCACACAGGGGCGTGCCTCCCGTGTGGTATTACCTGACCCACACAGCTATGCACGGCACCTGTCTGAAGACAGGAAGGCAGAGCAAGAGGAACAGGAGTGGACATGCGCAGTGACTCACTCGCTCTTCTTCCCCTTTTGTGCCAGCAGCCAGTTCACAAAGTCTTGTTGGCGGATCTTGTCCATGGCAATGCTGTAGTCACTGATAAAAGTTCCCTCAGCATACCTGGGGCTTCGAGGTTGGGGGCCACTGACCTTAGGATGGAATCTGAGGGACAGGGAGGGAGAGAGAAGACAGGGTGCCATAGCAGCTGGAAAGGGGGAGGGGCTGATGAACTGTAGGCCAAGCTTGAGAACAAAGCAACCGTTTCTTGAGTTTTTATGGAGACACCCTCTTATCCTTGCCCCTTGGACTTTATCCTGGCTTGAAGACCCACTCCCTGCATCCTCAGTGTTTGTGGCTCTGACTTCCTAGCAAAAAGGGGTCTGAGAATCCCTTGTCCCAAAGGACTGGATCACAGCTCCTCCTTTACTCCTCTTGCCCTAGTCATTGATGATTAAGTCCTCTGGTTCGATACTAAAGATAATAAGCGCCCCCGTAAAGCTCTTTTTTTTTAAGATTTATTTATTTATGCATACAAGAGCTGGGGTGCAGGCCAGAGGCACAGGAGTGAGAGGATTCACCAGAGACAGCAGGGAGCAGAACAGGCAGATTGACTGAAATTCACTGCTGAGGGGAGCAGGGGTGAGATAGGAGAGGTCTGTGCGCCATGTGGGTCAGCTCCCTGGCCGGGGATCGAACTCGTGCTGCAGATAGCTTCATGGTGGTGACGCTTACCCTTGAGGCACCAGGGACAACCCCCCCCCCCCCCCCCCCCGCCTAAAGTTCTTGCAGTGATTCAGGTCCCTTAGAAACCCTCTAATACACATCAACTGATTTTATCCTCAGAACACCACTAGGCAGGAAGGACTATTTATAGCCACTCTTTGTGAATGAGGAAGCCAAGGTGTAGAAAGATTACTTCAGCACATAGCACAGGTGACAGATCCAGGGTTTACCCCCAGGCAGACTGGGCCCAGGTCTAGATCTTAACTTCTACATGAGGCTGCCTCTTCTGGTACATGTCTCTGACAACTCTGCCTCAAATTTACATAGCCAAAGTTCCCAGCTCGGCTTATAGCCAAGAAGGCCCCAATCTACTCAGTCAAGCCTCTCCTGTTCCCCGCAAGGCCATCAGAGCCTGTAGCTGTTCTCACTCCTAATGCCCTCTGCTCTCCCTCGTGTACTCAAGACAATTTGCAACAGGCCTAGATGGTTCTTTGTCTGGTTCCTCTTTGGTCCACATGCCCATGAAGGCAGGGTGCCTCTGTGGACCATTCCTCACATATATCCCCGGTGCCTGGCATACAGGAGGCCCTCTATAAAATTTGATGGAATGAGGACCACCCTGGTGGCGCAAGGGGTTAAGATGCAACCTATGAAGCTGTCCGCAGCCGCTGCAGCACAAGTTCGATCCCCAGCCAAGGAGCAACCCACATGGCGCAGCAGACCTCTCCTGCTCCGCCCGCTGCTCCCCTCAGCAGTGTATTTCAGTTGATCTGCCTGTTCTGTTCCCCACTCTGTCTCTGGTGAATCATGTCACCCCCCACACCTCTGGCCTATACCCCAGTTCTTGTATGCATAAATACATACATACATACACATATACATACAAACATACATCATTTAAAAAAAATTGATGGAATGCACTCATAGATGAACGGCTAAAGCTTTTCTTAGGAAGAGAGATGCTATCATCGCTGCAGACACTTAACTGCTGAGCAGTTCTTCCAGAGAGCTAACCACAGTGTCTCCTGTTGTAACTGCAGCTCATAACAAATATTCTTTTTCTGGTCTCTCTTTGCACTAGACAGCTGGCAGCCCCGCCCCTTCCTAAACCCCCAGTTGCTTTCTTCTTGGCCTGGGGTTCCTCCTTTTCTCACCTCCCCCTTGAATCCAGAAACAACCAAGTCATTCCCCAGCCCTCCCCTCCCCTGCCCCAGTTCCCTCCCTTCCCATCTCTCCTACCTAGAGCTGCTCTCTTCCTTCTCCCCTAGGACCAGGGCCAGGAGCAGGGACGCCAGCAGCAGAGAGAAGATCTTCAGGGCCATCATTTCCAAGGGTGACTTCCTGAGCTGAGAGAGGAGAAGGGCCAGGATGAAAGGTGAGGGGCACTTCTGGGCCCTCGGAGTCATTAAGGGTTCTGAGAGCCAGAGGCACTGAGCCCTGGGAGTTGGGATTTTCCTAAGAGGCTGGAGCAATGTTTGGAGGAGGGTGGGGGTGCTAGGCATTAGAGTTAGTGACTAGGAGGGAGTGGAGCCTGGCCAAGAGGTGACCCTGCTTTTGTTCTATTTCATTTCTAAGTGCAGTCGGAGTGGGCCGGGCGGAGGGCAGTGGGGAGAGATCCAGGCAGAAGAACACAGTGGAGACCCGTGTGTGTGACCCCCTTCCTGGCTGTGGTGACTAGACACCACAGGCATGTGGTTGGGCAAGATTCTCGCCTTGGGGTCCTCCAAAGTTCATACCAGCCAGCTTTGCAGCTCTCAAATTGGCTGTCTGTCACCTAAATCACAGCCTCTTGCCTGGGCTGAAAAACACATATAGAACCATCCATGCTTCCCTTCTTGGTTTCACAGTCTTAGCTCAGGGACATTTTCCCTTGAGTCTGCCCCTTGGCTCATGTTACCCAATGTCTCTCCTGTAGAGAGGCAGAGCAATAAGGAACCTCCCCTCCAAGAGCTGCAAACCAAAGTTAGACATGAACCTTCTGCAGAAGTCCTTCTTCCTACCTTTGTCACCTGGGTGTTAAAGGCCCCCATACCTCCACCTTCCTGTTTCTAATAGAGAGGAACAGTGAGCTGTGAGGGTACAGAGCACCTCAGGGGTGCCAAGACCCACCTCCTCTCCAGAAGCATGTCCATCCCCCATCCTAGTTGCCCTCTTACCAGACTTCCTTCCTGGCTCTTCCTGAAGAAGGACAAGACTAGGTCTCCCCCTCCTACCTTCTGGCACTTGGGAGCCTTAAGAAGGTCTCCCCTGTCGCTCCTTTATATATGCAGGCACCAAGAGCCACTGATTAGCCTAAAAGCATCTTATCTCAAGAAATTAAGCCCACACATTACACATAATAAAGTTGCCCTTTCCACTTGAACTGTGCTAATTGGTGATTAACATTTGGGTATCTCCAACTGCAATCTGGACCTGCCCCTAGGGGACCATAAGTGCCCCATACTTCTCCCTGCTCCTCCCTTCTGGGTGCAGGACCCAGTATTCTATCCCCCACTTCCTTTAGAGGTACCCTCAGAAAGAATGACTTTGGTGAGGGGCAGGCTTTGGACAGGGTGGATGGGGGCACTCCCACTGACAGAAGGTCACTTCTAGGTGGGTGAGTCACTTGAACCCCAGCTCTGGAAATAGTGGCCGGTTTTGGCAATGTCCCCTTTGTGATCTGGGTGGGGAGCTCCCAAAAGGCCAAGAAAGGACTGGAGAGTGAGAGGGTAAAGGGTCAAGGGAACATGGAAATGGGGGCTCCTTGTGGATAGCTGTGTAGATTGAGAACTTGCACTCAAACTATCTCCCTGCTTAGTGACGGAGTGGAGGAATGACGCACATTTATGCCTTGAGAACTCAGGGAGAGATGGTGGAGGCTACAACTCTGTAATGATTTATGAAGAAGGCAGCTCCAGCCCCAGACTGCCTGCCTGTGTCTGCACAGGCGTCTCTTTTGACAAACCCGTCTTTTCCAAATGCAGCTCTGCCCACCTGCGGCTATGTCACTTTCTTGTCTCTTGTCTCTTTTTCTTGGTAAACTTACCCTTCTGAATAACAAACAATAATAATAAATAATAATAATAATAATAATAATAATAAAACAACCACAGGTCTCTCCTCAAAAGCCCTAGCTTCTATTTTTTTTTTTAAGATTTATTTATTTATGCATACAAGACCTGGAATACAGGCAAGAGATGAAGGGAGTGACAGGATTCACCAGAGACAGAGTGGGGAACAGAACAGGCAGACTGACTGAAATACACTGCTGAGGGGAGCAGCGGGCGAGACAGGAGAGGTCTGCTGCGCCATGTGGGTTGCTCCCTGACTGGCCGGGGATTGAACTCGTGCTGCAGAGGCTCTTGACAGCTTCATAGTGTGGTGCTTAACCCCTTGCACCACGAGGGAGGCCCAGAAGCCCTAGCTTCTAAATGAGAGTATGTGGTCCTGTCTCTGTCATCAGAATGGGGACCCCTGAGCAGGCTGGCAGACTGGAAGGCTCTCCAAGGCAGGGGCTTTATCTCGCTTATCAGACCTGGGCTTTCTGAGATCTGGGGTGTGATCCAGGGTTCTGTCTTCCCCACAGTACAGGAGCTTCCTGAGGCCAAGGGTCCTGTCTCCCCCCACCAGGCTGGAGACTCCCACAGGTGCTTCCTTTGTCTTTCTCCAAGTCCTTAGCACCCAACTGTCCACAGGCTCTTAGTCTAAAGGGGCAGGGCACAGACTGCATTTTTGGCAGACCCAAGGCCTCCTTCCCAGGCTCTCCTATCTCCACTGGCCAGGAGTACTTTGAACCATCAGCAGCCAAGTTCATGCCTATCTGCTCCAGGCCTAATAAAGGCCCCTTTCCTTTCCAGGTGAGCTCCCCAGCCAGGAGCAGCTCCAGCATGAAATTGAGTGCTTGTGTGGGATGAGATACCCGAACCAGGAGGGCAACTCACCTCTGCTTCCTAGAAACCTCGCCCACCCACCACCCATTTCTCACCATCTAGCAAAACATCTCTCTGGGCAAGCTCTCCAAATTCCATCTCCCAGCTATCAATGGGCCAGGATTAAGACACCCATCCAGATTTGACCTCTGAAGGGGATGTGGAGGCTGCATGATCACTTCCTGCTGAGCAGCACAGTTAATGGGGTCAGGAGGGTTTGTTAAAATCTGGGTAGGCTGTCTGGAGGTGGAGGATATCCACGAAGGGTGAACAGTATTTCCTGGGACCCCTAATTCTGATGCCACACTAGAGTCAAGAGTCATGGAAGGTTTTGTGATGGGTTGGCAGCCCAGAGGCCCTGCCTGGGGCTCTGTGAATTTCTGAGGGGTGGGTTTTGCTGAAAGCCAAATTATGCTTTAAGTCCCCACCACCCCACCTCTGGGAGGGGCTCTCTCTGCAGCCCCACTCGCCATTCCCCTTTGATCTTTGACTCTCATTTCTAACAGTGAGCAGACTAGGGAGAGTGTGACCTGGGCCTCGGGGAGGGAGGTATGTGGGGACAGATCTTAGACAAGACATTAGACTCCAAGGGGGGACCCATAGGCCTCTTCCCTGCAGGGTATACTGGGAAACCAAAGAATGGCAAAACTGGCCATGGGAAGTTTCTGGGGATCAGCAGGGCCTTCTAAACTTGACCAAAATTAATAAATCCAACTGGCAACTGGGCCAGCCCATCCATACCATACTGAGAAGTCTGGGGTGCAGAGTCCAGGGTTATGCAGGGAGGGGAGGCTCAGGGGGTTGTAGAGATCTAATTCACTGCAGAGAATTTCCAGGACTCCAGCTGAGGGGTGACAGAGGACACAGGGGATACGGAGACAGGAGGATGCCCCCATATGCAAAGGCTGATGACCCAGACAGGTGGAGCATTGGAGCTGGTGACGTCTGGGGGCTCACAGAAGTCAGCGTAGGGAGGGGGTGATGGGCATCACTGTCCCAAGAGAACACAGGCTCTCGCTCCCCAGCTCCCTTGGGCTTTTTTTTTTAAAAGATTTATTTATTTATTTATACAAGCACTGGGAGGGTGAGAGAATTCACCAGAGTCAGAGCGGAGAGCAGAGCAAGCAGAGTGATGAAATACACTGCTGAGGGGAGCAGCGGGCAGCAGGAGAGGTCTGCGTGCCATGTGGGACCCTCACCTGTTGGCCGGGGATTGAATTGTTGCTGCAGAGGCTGCGGGCAGCTTTGCAACCCTCCCTTGGGTTTTGAATCAGAGTTCCAGGGTGAGAGCTGGAGCAGCCTCAGACAGAACCTTTGAGGTTTGCTGGCTCTCCCAGCTCATCGTGGTGTCTCATCACCCCCACCCCCTCCACCAGGCCTTCAGGGCCACTGCAGACATTCCGGGCCCCAGCTCACAGCCAGGCCAGGGTGAAGCAGAGGGCTGGCAGCAGCCCCCCTGCGCCTGCTGCTGCTTTTGAATTTCACTTGGTCTTCAAGCTCACAGCTGACTCAGAGAGCAGCTCCCCTTTTACACCAGGTGGCAGATTAATCCTCCTCCCTCAGAGGAGACAAGAGGCAACATGAACCATGACAAGCTCTGCGAGTTCTGGTTTACCCTGGTTGTCAGAAGGACTACCTCCAGCTTTCCTCCCCCGTGTGGCACCAACTTAGTCATGGTCCCCAGCATTTGTGCCCACCTCTGCCCTCAGTACCACTTTGGTCCAGATAGATACTTTCCAGAAGGATCTTCGAGAAAGAATATACTACTGACAGCCTTTCTTGATCCTTTGCTGCAAGGGATCAATTTGGAAGTCCCCTCTCAGTTCTAAACTCAACCCTTTTTGGCGTTTTCAAAGGCCATATTGTCTGCTTTTGTTAGTCAAGAAAATAGCTCAGCCCTTCATAGTTGTAGACTAATCCTTGGGATAACTGCCCTGGAGAGTTAGAACTGGGAAGGGGTGGCCACAAGGGAGAGAGGGAGGTTCTTCTCCCAGGGGAAGGGAAAGAATTGGTGATGTATTTAGGATAAAACGTCTGAACCTCCCAGACCCAGCATTCCTGAATGCTGGCTCCCAGGTAAGAAAGGAAATGGGGTGTGGCGGGGGTGGGGTGGGGGTGAAGTCTGCTTTCCCTTCCTTTTCTATGCACGGGGATGTGAAGACTGGAGCAGCTTCCAGAGTCCCCAGTGAATGCCCCCAAAAAACATAACCTTCATTAATTAGATTAGGGATGGAGAGAGAGAAGTGGATGGAGAGGAGGGGAGGGGAGAAGAGGGGAGAGGAGGGAGAGAAGAAGAGAGAAGAGGAGAGAAAAGGAGAGAAGAGGAGAGAAAAGGAGAGAAGAGGAGAGAGGCTCAAGTCCCAGCTTCCTCCTGCCCATCTCTTATCCACTCTGAACCTTAACCTGCCCCATCTCTAAATCAGGGTCAAGACAAGGAGAGCTGTACTCTTCCTCCTAGGGAAGGGTGAGGTTGGTGTCTTGTGAACGCAAAGGCATCCTGCCAGTGTTGGCTGCAGGTATTCTCTGAACTGATCTCTGCCTCACTCTACGGGAAGAATTAAATAAGATGAAATTATAAAGCCAGGTTGACTCTGTCCAGCAGCCAGGACGTGGAAGGCTGTGGAATTCCATGTTAGGGGTGAGGACTTTGGAAACATACCTGCCTGTTCTTTCACAGCAGGGTGATGTAGAGCAACTTGCTCTTTCTTTTTCTAAGATTTATATATTTATGGACCTCCCTGGTGGCGCAGCAGGTTGAGTGCAGCGCTATGAGGCTGTCTGCAGCCTCTGCAGCGTGGGTTCAATTCCCAGCCAGGCAGGAAGATAACCACATGGTGCGGCAGACCACTCCTGCCTCGCCCGCTACTCCCTTCAGCAGTGTCTTTGGTCCATCTGCCTGTTCTGCTCCTCGCTCTGTCTCTGGTGAATCCTCTCACCCTCCCGCGCCTCTGTCCTATATCCCAGTTCTTAAAAAAAAAAAAATTTATTTATTTATGCATACAAGAGTTAAGGTGTAGGCCAGAGGTGCTGGTGGGTGAGAGGATTCACCAGAGAGAGTGGGGAGCAGAACAGGCAGATGTACTGAAATACACGGCTGACAGGGAGCAGCGAGGTGAGGCAGGAGAGGTCTGCTATGCGATGTGGGTTGCTCCCTAGCCGGGATCAAACTCTGATGCAGTGGCTGCAGATAGCTTCATAGGTTGCGTTTTAACCCCTTGCACTACCAGGGAGGCCCACAACTTGCTCTTTCTGTGCTTCAGTTTACCTTTCTTTAAATGGGAACTGGAATAGTTTGGACCCCAA